TTACCATTAGGTGTCCCAACATTACACTGAATTTAGCACAGGAAAAAAAAATTGCTGCTGGAAAATACATTTTTAAGGCAGCTTTCATTTTGGCCTTGAACTCAACTATTTTGAATTTAGCCTGAGGGTATTTTGTTTGATAGCTTGCTGCAGGCTTAGTACTGCATGCAAGACTGCTGCATTAGCAGAGCTCTGACATTCGACACTTATCTGTGACTAATGATACATATTTGATCCTTAGCAGCACCATTGATTTGTGAGGAGACATATTTGAATCTATCCATGAGAAAACTGAAAATTATGTCTTTAGAATACTATTTCAGAGATTCATCTTTTATTAGGAGTACAAAAAATAATATCAGTTAATCACTGATTCTTCAAAAATTTTGACTAAGTTGGGTATTATTTTTCATTATTTTGTTAGTTGAAGAACATATAGTTCCAAACAGAAAAGCAAATGCAAAAGCTATATTAATTCTGGAATTAAAGGTCACCTTTTGCATGCTAGCAAATACAGCCCCAGTAAGATATACATGCTGATGAAGTCAGCAAGCAATTAAGGACATGACTCCTACACAACCTCTTCAGCTTACTAGTCACTTAATCATACAAGGTGTCGAGCCTTGTCACCCTGGACCTAAAACACATGCTTAATTTTAAACATGTGACTCAGTTACAGGATTCTGTGAGATTACTTGTGCATAACATTAGACACCTGTTTAAATGCTTTGCTGGATCAAAGCAGGAATGCTGAGCATTTTGCAGGATTGTGTGTTAAATGTGTTTTATCTCATCCTCCTATTGGAAAAACTCTTTGATACACGCTTACGTAGTGGGAAGAGAAAAAGTGTCTTAGCGTCTTCTGCTTATGGTGAGATTCAGCTTTTCAAACCTTACTGTATGGGCTGATGTTTGATAATAAAAGATTTATTTTGTTCCAATTTATTTTCACTTTCAAATTGCCAGTTTTCAGCTATTTACCTCCAGACAAGCGTGAGAGACAAGAAAGCAAAGCAGGTCATTGCAAATACTTCTCTTCCTGAATTATGTTGAGGCTATTGTCAAAAATAAACACCACATTCCTAAATGTGAATATATCCTGGGGAGAGCAAAGTGTAAGTGTCATAATGAGTTGCAAAAAAATGGCGTGGCTGCTTGTAAACATATGGTCTCCCCTTTACGGTTTTAGTATGATGTCTGATGTCTGATTTTTCAGTGTTAAACAGATTTACACCCTTTGGACTTGAAATTAGCTAGTGCTCAGAGCTGTTCTTCTCAAGAACTGGTTTGAGAACACACATCTTCACATTTTTCGTGCTTTTTACATTTAGCTGACTTTTATGAAAATTTCCCTTGGCCTAATTGGAGCAGAGCAGCAGTACTGTCCTGCTATTGCTTTGCTCCCAAACCACTCAGATTGTACAGAGCAGATTTTGGAGCCCTGCAGTAGGCTGAGGCTGGCGGCTGCTTTCGGGAATGACTGGCAGAGCTTCCATTGTAGGGGCTCTGACTCTGACAGCAATGACTCACTGCGAGTGCCACGTGGCAGAGTTGGCTGATGGACTTAAAAAAGAACCATCCAATGCAAACAGGCATCTGCGGGTTTATATTTTACAATGATACTTTTTTTCCCTCCATAGCCTTTTAGTTGTGCCTTAGAAGGATCTAGAGTCAAAGCCACATGGGTCCTAGAAGCAAGCAAATAAAGCTACCTGGCCTACACAATTCCAGTTTGCAATATACCAAATAAAATGAATGGAAAATACTAAAAAACGAGGCAATAAATATTTAGTTCTCCAAATTAGAAAAAATTAGTATTTGTCTATTGCAATCATTATGGCAACACCTGAGCAGTTCTGGAATGCTGTGCTTGTAGATAGTAGCTATGGCCACAGCATGAACACTGCTGTTGGAAACTGGGGGACACTGATTTGTGTTTGTATAGCTACATCACACACAGGAAATAGATACAGATACACACACACACACATATATATATTTGCTGCACGTCTATAACAGTTGCTGTATTGCTCCATGAGAAATTTCTGGGCCTATCTGGAATGACCAATGGGTGTCAATATTTATACAAAGAACTGGAGAGCTTCCATAAAACCAAAATTGTACAGAAAGAAATCCTGGCATTGCCCTGATATGTTTGCAGAGTGAGGTAGCTGTTCTGATTTGATACAACTAAAAAAACCCAACACAAACCATGGAGACGTTTTACCCTGCTTCTTCTTACTGCTCCCCTGCAATGGTTCTTTGCACACTACTGCACTTCTCTGTTGTTCTGTCATCATCATTCAGCAGAGGGTAAAGGGTTTGCTTCTTCTCTCTGGTTTGGTCATCAGGGCCCACTCAGAAGAAGGGGAACTAATGGTTTAAGAGAGATATTTTAAAAGTCTTTTTATGTATGTGATTTATTTTCCATTTTGCTAACTGCTATTTCTGTAGCTCCTTTGCTAGTCTGTGTTTTAACAGTGACTGCTACTATTCTGTCTTCAGAATACCCTGATATCTTCCTTCTTTCTTCTCTTCTGGCTGGAAGGAAATCTCATTAGTACAAACAGTAATAAACAAGCTCTGGTTTGCAGGAGTCAAGAGTGCTTGTGTGTGGATTCATATTTCTTAAATGTACTTAGAGACATCAGGCCGTCCAACATGGCTTCATTAATATCGCTTCTGAGGTCATCATTTTGCTGTCACATTTTTTCAGATTCTATCCATGTGTTAATACTCTGCTAATGCATAAACCATGCTAGTTTTCCAGTAAGAAGTGATCCTCTTGGCAAGAAATATCACATCTAATCAAAAGCTATGTGATTTGGGAAACTTGGTAAGAGTGAGGAAGTATGTATGGGTCTAACTCTTAAGAAAAATACAAGGATGTGAAGAATTGTTTTATTAAAATTATTTTAAAAACTCCAAAGAAAATACTCTATGTTTGCAATATTCATTTGTATTAAATTTCTATTCATACCATACAGATTAGCATGAACAAGGGATTTTCTTTAATATTTTATTTGGCTGAATTGAGTGCAAGGGTTCCAGTACTCTGGAGATGATCACTCTGAATGACTGGGTGACCCATTAAAGCATTCTGCTGAGGTATGTCTTTGTCCTGCCAGCTGGAGGATTTTACCAGGGTTAAGTGCCAAAATAGATCTCAATACAAAAGTTTTAACTAATTCAAGGAAATCGTTACATAACCTCACTGCCAAGAATAGTGTTCACATATACAGTTACAGAGAGATGTGATGAGGTTGAATATATTCCTATTTGCAAAGTACTTTGATAAGAAGCTGTTACAGTGTGCAATATATTATCATGCTAAATATGTCCTTCAGTCTTTGAACAGGGATTGGGCAGATAGAAAGTAAACTAAACAGAATTTTCAATTAACATACACTGAAATAGGTTGTCTAAATTCTATGAAAAAGCAAATGCTGAAGATAACAATTTGCCATGTGCAAATATATAGTTATGTGCATATTAATATAATCTCCTGCTAAAATTTCCTCTTTTGAGTTTTTAATACAAGGACAGTAGATCCAACCTTATGTGTTTTACGTCAGCATCTCAGACAGCAAACATTTTGCACTGCAACAAAAATCCCAGAATTACTTCATGATATGATTTTGTTCCAGTATCCATCTAATCACTACAAATGTACTATTTTTCACTCTTTTCTCAAGAAAAAGTAGGAATAGTAAGGAATAGTATTAAAGTGAGGCTCAGAATTAATTATGCAAGACATCTGTGCTTATATCTGAAGTCTGGTTGATACTGGGTCTCCAGCATTTGAAGTCAGGACCAAGTGCCCCACTGACCTCAGAAACACAAGCCTAGCCTCTTGACTAGAAACACATTTTATTATTATTTTATGCTATTTCTGTGTGTAGAGTGCCGCAGCTACTGATGTTACATAAAACCCAACGGTGTGTTCTACAGGGACAACAAATATGTGAAGGAATCTGTTGGACACAAACTGTTGGAACTCTGGGTTTTTTTTAACCTTGGAAAATATTTACATTACTGACCCTTAAGCTGCTTCTTTAACATTTACTCTGTACTTTTAATCAAAGTTTAGGAAGGTTTCATATATAACCATTTAACAAACGTGTTGTGGTAAACAGGTTTAGTATATATAAACAAGTTTAGTATATATAAAGGTTTTTGGCCTTTTTTCATATAATTTTCCTCAAGATAATAACATGCATTATCATTTCCCTGGATTAAGTTAGACCTTTAGGTCTTTCCTATATGCCTTTAGGAAAAAGTGGGGAGTACACATTTATTCTCTTACATTATTCTTAAGAAAAAAAATTATTCTTTGTATAATGTAGTCATGATTTAGAGAACACATAAATCTTCACACTGTTACTCCATTCATGTGTTGTTTTTGGTTTTTTGTTTTTTTTTTTTTTTCCCTAAATGCCGTGCCAAATTAATCCCTGGTGCAATATTGTGTCACCAGTGAAGCTGTACCACTTGTCTGGACTCTAGTTTTAATTGAAAGATTTATCATTCCACAGTTTCTTTGTCTTCTGTACTTAGTACATGGATCCTTGGAAACCCTGACTACTTTGGCATTACTGTCTCTTTTCTTTATATAGTGTATCTTTTTCTTGGTTTTTTTGTGGGTTTTTTTTTTTTTTTAAATCATGGTTTCTCTTAATGGAATGTGTGGAAAGCTTTCTCATATAAGCAAAATAAAAAGCCCCACTGTGATTTGCACTTGATTCATATAGGTACAGTTATGCAACTTTATTTAGCTTGTTATGTTTATTGCACTTTATTAAATAATTTGTTATTGATAATGTGGAATTGGGCGAGTTGCATTATGATTAAATGCAATAGCTTGTTCTTCCTCACATATTTAATTGCTAAAACCAAGAATGCTAAGGGGTTTGGAGAATTGATGATCAGAGTTGGGGGTTTTAATTGCAAAGATCCAGGATTGATTAATATTTTAAATATTTCTGTGCTACTCTACACAGAATATCCACAAGAGGGAACTGTTTTACATAAAGAGGAGTCATTTCCTTGCTGCTAAAACACTGCTTTCTGGAACCAAATCCTCCAGAATTACATTGAGTTGGCATGATTGTGTCCTGGACTATGCTACATGGTACGAATGGGAAAAACACAGGTCAGCACAGTGTTTGTTATGTTCTGTAAATAGTACTGTTAACCAAGTAAATTTTGAGCTCTTGTGTTGAAATATTAAATAGACAACTAATCTGAAAACTAATTCATTGAAGTTTTCTGTTTGTTTGGAATAGATCTCTCCAGGATGCAGAGCTTGAAAATCTTGTTTAGTCTGATGGCAGCATGAAATGGAGTTGTTGCCTCAGTAAATGAAGCATACAGCCCCAGGGGGCTTTCTCAAACTCTGCTGTATAGAGCCTGCACTGGAAAGCTGGCCTTTCTTTATTCATAAAGGAGTAAGCTCAAATGGGACTTAATGGAAGGGATATTCATTTAAGGATCACTTTTACCTCTGTCTATGAATAGGTGAACAAAATACAGTTACCTACTTGGCTTTGTCTTTTGCAGATATTTCCTAGTAAGGAAACTTTCAAGTGCTAAGGTAAGTCTCAATTCATATCAATATTTACTTTTCAGTGTGAGTTTCATGGTAAATATTTGTAGAACTGAGCCATATTTATGTAAATAAAAGTTTTGTTTATACGGATAAAACAAAAGGTTTTCCCCTGGACATATAGTGTGAAATTTATATATTAGGACTCCTACTGTATGTGTTGGTTGGTTTATTAACAGTTTTTGAGCATTAGAACTTAAAAGAAGCCTTTAACAAGTGATCACAATAAATCTCCTATCCAAATCTACATGTAAACTCTGTGTGAACATGTTTGAATCAAATTATTTGAACATACAGACTACATTTTGTGGTGCACTTGCTTTGCTTTAGTCTGAGTTCTTTAGGACCATCTTTGGTATGTGTGGGTACAGTATTATGGGGATGATATGTGAGAAGTGCCTAACGATCCTGTTTGCGTCTGAAGTGCTCGTGAAAACAGTCTGCACTGCTCAGCTGCAGCAGTATTGAGTCCAATAAATACACTCATACCTTCTCCTTCTGAATGTATAAAGCAAGAAAATGTATTTTTAGTCTGCAGCCTCTCTGTCAAATCTGGACCCTCTCAAAGAGCAGCAAGAGAGGATGTATGTCACAGCCATGGCTTCAGAGACTCAGTTCTTGTTATCTGCCAGACCAGAATATGGAAGAAATTCCACCATGCAAAAGCCTTCCCTGGGATACGCTGTGCAGCTGCTCTTCACTGTCCTCATCTTTCAAGGTGCACAGGGTTTGTAGTTTCTATTAGCTGTAAGAGTGCCTGTAAGTACCTGGCACTTCTGAAGATCAGACATCAAGTGCCTGTGTTACGATGCTCCTGCCCTTGTTCCACTCCTGGTGTTTGCTGATGGATAAAAAGATCCCTATGTGTGTGTGCAGCTGTGAAAAGGGTGTTCCTCACAGAATGCAGAGCAAATGACCATGGGGACCAGGTTCTGAGCCCAGGACCCAAGGCTGTGTGATCCTTTGCAGACCAGGTGGCTCTCAGCTGGGGAGGGCTGATAATGAAAAGTCATGGGAGGGGGCAGCAGCTGTGGCAGCGCAGTCTGGGCTTGCATGTGGCAGCTGTGACAGGCAGTTTCTTTTCAATCTGACTAGTTTTCTGCATCTAGAAATCCTCAACCAAATTCCATTACAACAGTCCCCTGGGAATGGCCTACTCCAGGTCTGCTATGTAACTGATCGCTTTTCTTGGGGAAAAAGTAATGTAGCATTTTTCTCATCTGTATACACTTCCATATCATTATGTAATTGACGCCTTCTCTATTCAGAGGCCCCTATCAAACCCTTCTGGAAAAAGGAAGCCTTCTCTTGAAGACAGACTGGAAAGAGACATCATGATGAACTCACAGAGCCAGACAAACAGTGGTGTTATTGCATGAAAAAAGTGGGGGTGAGAGGGTTAGAGAGCCCCATAAAAAGCTTTGGGAACTCATAAAATCTCATTACCTTCACTTAAGTAGAAAACAAAAACAAACAAGCTCCTGGCAGATGCAGAAACAGAAACGACTACTACTAAAGGTTAAGAGATTACTATTTCATAATGGTGGTTCTCTGCTGGTATAGCAACTAGATAAGATGGGGGAATGTCACGCACACAAAGGCTGCTGTATTTTACCCTTGGAAAGATGTCAAGAGGATCTGCATAATACTTTGTACAGACAACCCAGTGAGCAGACCATGTGCCAAATGGAGAGTTTATGTATAAATGAATACCCATATAGACATATAAATGTCTCTGCTTTTCAACGTGAATCCGAAAAAAAAGTAGGAGATGACAATCCAGATTTTCTTGCTGGCTTCCCCTTTCACCCCCATCCTCCCCAAAGGTGTCATTTAAAATTGTTATTTATATTCCTAAGGGTTAAATTCAGGAATGTTCTTGGGATGTGCGGCAATTTACGGCGTGCTTGCGGAGCGTTTGCAGTACTTGCCCGTGTCAATTAAAGACAAGCCACGAATGTCTTCAGCGGAAAAACCCACGCCGCGGTCCCCGATGTTTATTTCACGCTCCCTCAGCGCGTTTCCATGCCAGCTCCCCCCTCCCGCGCCGTGCGCATCCCCGGGCACCTGCTGCTGCAGCTCAACCGCCTCCCGCGAGCCCCGAGCGCGCCCCGCTCCCTCTCTCCCTCCCCCCACCGCGGCTGCGGAGAGCGCGGCGCGGCGGCGATGGACGCGCCAGGGCCGGCGGGACTTGTTGGACCGGCAGCTCCCCGGCGCGGCCGGGCACCGCCTCGCCGCCACCTGTGAAGCGCCCGCCTCGGCACACAGTCCCCGCTCCCGCCTCGCCGTCCTCCGCTTTGATGCGCCCCCGGAGCGGCCGCGGCTGCGGGCGCGGGGCCGTCGCGTCCCCCGGCGGCACAGAGGGAGGGGCGGGAGCCGGCGGCGCCGCTGCGCGTGTGGGAGCAACAGCCTGAGCGACAGCCGGGCCCTGGAGGGAGCTCCCGAAGGATGGGCGAGGAGGCGGCGGCAGCGGCAGCGCACGCACAGATGGGCCAGCGGAGGATGAATTAGGAGCCACAGGAGGCTGCTGCTGGCACCGAGGGGGGAAGAAGAGAGGAAGGGGCTGGACTTGAAAGAGGAGGAGGAGGAGGGTGCTCGGGGTGGGGGTGACTGAGTATCGCTGATAACAAGTTAAAGACTAATAACAATAATAACAGACCACCTCCGGGAGGATCCGCGGCCGAGGCTGAGTGAGGGATCCCCGCTGAGGCCAGCGGGGTCGCAGCGCTGGGTATCTCGGAGAGACGCTCAGAGGCATCAGTTTGTGGTGGTGGTGGATGATTTTTTTTGGGGGGTGGGCGGGGTAGGGGCTGTGTATGCGGGAGAAGGAAGGGGTGGGAATCTGAGGAGGAGACTATATTTTTATTATTATTTTTAATTTTTTTCTAATATTATTTTCGCCGTACAAAGAGGACGCTCGGAATTCACCGGCCTGTCGGCTCCCGAGAGGGACCCGGGAATTGTGCGGCCGCTTTTCTTCACCTGCTTTTTTTTTTTTTTTGGTTGTTTGTTTGTTTGATTGGTTTGGTTTTTTTGTTTGTTTTGACTGGGGGCTTTTTATTTTTATTACTCTCCTTATCCTTCCCCGCTGAGCAGCGGCGGCAGCAGCAATATGGCTGGTGATGGGCTTTTTGGGGGGCGCTGGCGGCGGGAGGAGCTCTCGGAAGCCCCTGCGCGCCCGGCTCGCTGTTAGCTATGGCAAATGGCAGCGGCGGCGGCTCCTACCCGGGCGGCAGCGGCAGCGGCATTAGAATGAGTAACAATATCAACGCCAACAATCTCAACACAGACTCGTCCTCCTCCCCCGTCAATGTGCCCAAGATGGATGCGCTCATCATCCCGGTGACCATGGAGGTGCCCTGCGATAGCCGCGGACAGCGCATGTGGTGGGCTTTCCTCGCCTCATCCATGGTTACTTTCTTTGGGGGACTGTTTATCATCCTGCTGTGGAGGACCCTCAAGTACCTGTGGACTGTCTGCTGCCACTGCGGGGTCAAAAACAAGGTAACTCCCCCTTCCCTTCCCTTCCCCTGCTGCTGCCGGTGATGGTTCGGTGCGGTGGTGCTGAGGAGGAGCAGGAGCCCAGCCTTGGGCACCAGGACACCTGGGCGAGGTGGCGGCGGACGCCGATGGCACTGTGCTGATGGCAGTGTGCTGATGGCAGTGTGCTGGCTGCTCTTGGCTTCGGGCTGCCGGGAGCTGCAGCGTGGGCAGCGGAGCCGGGCTGAGGTGCAGGGTGCAGTCCCGAGGCGCCTCCCCGGTCCCCCTGCTCTGTCCCACGGCACGCAGGCGAAAACTCACTCGTTTTCGTGTGGTGGCATGAAAGTTACACCTGGTGTGCGACGCTCTGTCCGGGAGGCACACGCCGGTGTGGTGGGATGGAGCAGATCAGAAGTTTATATGCACCCTTGGGGCCTCGTGTGATGGGGTGGGAGCTTGCATATCCTGATCTAAAGAGGCACACGCTGGTGTGGTGGGACGGAGCAGATCAGAAGTTTTATATGCACCCTTGGGGCCTCGTGTGATGGGGTGGGAGCTTGCATATCCTGATCTAAACTCTTGGTTGCCTTGTGGAATGAGAAACTTGGGCAAAATTTAATGGGTCAATTTCTCACTCAGCTGGGTCTTTACAAAGCTAGTTCCATTCCCTGAAAATGTTTGACGTTTCTGCTTGTTAAATTAAGTGTATCTATCCAGAAGTATTCTTTACATTTGTAAGTATTCTCTTAACCTAAGTGTGAAGTCTTTGAGGCAGCCTTTTCTGCCCCTTTGATTTTTGCATATTTCCAGCTGGAAGAAAGCATAGTATGTGAAATAAGTTCAGTTTCTGCTTTGAAGGGTCTATTTTCAAACCAAAGCTAAGAACTTGCTGAAGTCCAGACTTTCGTTTTTGATTACGAAAAATGAGATTGAAAGTGTTACCACTCTGTATTGTGAAAGTGTATTTTGACAGACCCCAAAATAGACCAGCAACTGGAGTTTCTCCCCTTCCCTTTTCACATTTTTTGAATTACAAATGGAATAATATCTGCTTCAGTTATTCCTGGCACACAGACACCCACAAAAACACACACACCTTTTAATATATGGTTGCTAGGTTGCTGGTTTGCTTTGACGTACAGTGAACTGTCTTCCCCTTTCTGCTGTCCCCTCCCCCCTGAACACACAGCACATACACCAGCTCTGTGGAGGGCCCGGCAATTAGGGGAAGCCAGGAACAGAGTTAGAGCATGAGAAGTTATGGTACTTGTCTGTTGTGTAGTTTGGGTTGCCTAAATGAACCTCCACATTCCAGCTGGAAGTTAAACTCATGCAGTGAACTTGCCTATCTATGGAAGGAGTGATTGCTAAAGTTAAGGAATAAAAGCTTTTAAGTCAGCCTTAAGCGTCAGGAATCCTATCAGGCAGCACCACTTTTCTGTAGGCTTTTTTTTTCATTCAAAATCAAACCTGAACTGTCTTAGAGAGGTGTTAGCCAGGTATGATGACACAGCTCTAATGAATTTGTGATAATAAGACACTATTTCCTACAGAAGTAAAAGGCAATTTTCAAGGAAGGGTGAGTAGTGAAGACTTAAGCTTTGGTTTTGTTGTGTATTTAGCATTTCTGCCTCCACAGAATGAAACGAATCTACAAGTGCTTTCAGGGATCTTGACAAAAAAGAAAAATCTGCGTGTTATTACCTCATGCTTCTTCCCTTGAGAGAGTAAAAAGTTAGAGGCTTGTATGCAGACTTCCTATGCATGGTTTCTTGATGGGTACTGTTGGTCAGATAGTCCATTGTTGGGACACAGTCAGATAAAGCAGATTAGTCATTTCTTAACCAGTATAGAAAGATATGTGCAAATTGTTTTTAAAACCTCTTGGGCTAAATGTGGCTGTTTAGTAGCAGGCTTTGGTGAGGGGTTAAAACACTTCCAGTCCCTAGAGTTTCATGTACTATGACTATGGCAGGTTGTAAGATTTCAGTTTATTTCATCTTTGAAACTGAAGTAGTTCCATGAATGTCATTCCCTGGGGCAGGAGGATAAAGGGCTCTGCAGGTAGGGGGAGATATATGTCTCCTTTTGGATCCTATTTGTTCCTGTTATAAGGATTTTCAAGACTCTGGCAAAGAAGAACTTTCAAGGGCTGATCCTGAATTCCTTATAAGATAAAATGGGGAATTGGAGGGAATTCTGTGTGTGCAAGAACATTAGTTATAACTAGCTATTGCAAAATACTTTTCTAGTATTTAAGGTATAAAGGCTGACTGAAGTAACAACTGGAATTATCTGAAACTTTGCTGTTATCAAGCACATACTTTGCTGCTTGGTGAGTTGGGAAAAGCTGTCGAGGCTGCTGGAGAGAACTGTGCATGCATATATACACTGTGTCGACTCTATTGGGCCTGCTGCAAAAGCAGTTTTAGAAGAAGTAGCTCCTCCTACTGCAGGATTGAAGAAGTTTTCTGCATGTTAGGAGCTTTCCTTTCCTCTGCTGCCTCCTCTGTTGCTCCACAGGTTGCAGGGGAGTTGGGCTGTCCAGCATCATCTCACTATCTACACAAAGAGCAGTCCCAGTGAGCGAGCTGAGAGAAATCTTCCTCATGTCTACTTTCCGTGGCCTCTTATTGAATAATTCACATATATATGTGAATAATTCAGAGTTACTGTGCTAACACTCATGTCTGTTTCTGTTATTGCAAAGAACTGCAAAAAGTTTCCTTTTTTTCCTCCCTGCTACATTCTAAGCATGACATTGTATCCCATGGATTTGTCGATGATTGTTTGGGATGTAAAACTTTTTAATGACTTTGTAGGAGGATTTAGAGTGTGGTTTGTTTGGAGTGTCCCACTCTTCAACTCATTTAATTTAAAGCCAGAATTTAAAACCATGATAGAAACAGTTTATTACTTTGTGGTATGAAATGTCATTAATTTTTTTTCCCTTGGAGATAAGAAAGTCAAGATACTGTAAGTCAAGAATATGAAAACTGCTAACAGAATTATCAACACTGTCCCTTAAAATTCCATATTTAATTTATGTAATTGTTTATGACTAGAACATCACTCTTCATCATGTACTAAAAATGATTGTTGAAGTTTTAGGATTTTCATGCTCCATACTTGCTTTGTGAATTGGCATTAAAAAAGTAACTGCCCAAAAAAATGGAAATCTTTACCTTTGTTGTCAGTGTTTCGTGTAGTGTGACAGCCATTACTATCAGAGCCCTTGTATTTCTTTCTTTAATATGGTATATAATTTTAGATGCAATTTTTCAAAATTAGCTACAGTCTATTTGCAACCAGCCTTGAAAAATGCTGGTTTTATTCTCAGTGTTTACATTTAGTAGCGCTTAGATACTGCTAAATAACTTGTCTGGTCATTGCTTGTGTTTTCTCCCTTGACCGACTAATTTCTGTTTGTGTATGAAAAGTAGAATGTGAGATTAAACTTCATTGGGTTGGACTCTGACATTAATTGTTCTTGTTTGTGGTAACAGCAGGAAAATAAAATAAATATGCATGGTAATGTACACATAGGGGATAAATGCATATTATACAATCTATAGTTATTTTGGTTATATGGATTTGCCTCTGTCTATGCTCCTGGAGGGCATTTTCTGCTCACATTATCTGTTATGGCTTTGAACAAACTCTAAAACCATGAAGAAGTGGAATGAGAAAGCACAGGTTTGCGGCACAGGCAGCTCCTGGAGCTGGTCAGTGCAGAATCAAATGGAATTTGTTTCCTTTTGAAGAATATGATACCAGACCCTTTATTGCTGCTCCTTGGCTCCCCAGTGAAGGGTACCTCTTATGGACCTTATGTCATCAGGCTCTAGCAGGTAGAATACATCCTTATTGGGATGCTTTCAGTGTTTTGGAAGAGCTTTTCCTCCCCACAACCCAGGGCTTGTACACATAACAAATGAAATTATGATTATAGGTAGCAGTTGTTAGCCTGAACTTACAAGCCTTAATGGTCTTCTTTGACTTTGGTCTATGTATTTTTGAAATGTGGTGTTACGCAGTGCTTTTTACTCAGTAGAAACCAAGCAACATTTCCATTTGTTTTGAACAGAAAAAAACTTGGTTTTGCTGGAAATGCAATATTTGCAGAAGTCGTCTTTGAAAAGTTAAGAATTTCAACCTAGAATTCTAAAGCCTGAGAAAATTTGTAAGGGGAAAAATTTAAGTGGTCCATAAAACAAGCGGTATTCATTCCAAGCTGGCTCGAGTGTGGGCAAGGCTTGTTGGTTTCTGAGCAATACCTGTGTAAACGTCCTCTCCAAATAAAGAAGAGGAGTTGAAGTGTGATCTGTTGAGAAAAGTTTGAGCGTCCATTGGAAGACACGTGTGGACACCTAATGCAGGAGATCCCTTCATTTAAATCCGTGCGTGGAATCGTCACCTCGACTCTGGGAGATGAGCTGGGCAGCAGCGTATGATGGACAACTGGGAGGCTCAGGGGATTAGCGGGAACTGTAATGCATTTTGCTGCTGGGTCACATGCACAGCCTGGCTCAGTCCTTCCTGTCTCATGGCTGTCAGGTGGTCTGCACGCACTTACTCCGTGAGAGCCTCACCAGACAGGTTGCCAGTGAGAGGTGGCCATGGTGGAGAGGTCAAGGTCTGAGAGAAAAGGCACTCGCAGCCCTTTGCAGGTGCTGTTTCTCCAAGCAGAGATGGGCGCTGGTGTGGAGGGGTGTATGCTGCTGTTTTCCATGCTCTGAAAAGGAAGATACTTCTGGCTCTCTGGAGCTTAGAAAGGGTTTCACATTTTATAAATGCATGCTAAATAAAATAGGTTTCTGCATGCAGAAAAGAGAATGTACAGACAAGGATTTAACTCGTAAACCAAACAGTCTCAACCAAAATGTTATTTTGGTATAGTATCATACTTACTTTGAAGGCTTTGCAGCACATAGATTTAAGGAGAACATCTGCATGCAAAAAGAACTTGAAAATCTCACATCTGCAAATCTGTAAGTGCTGGTTGAAAACCATTAGATTTCACT